TGGGATTTTGGTTAGGATTGCATTGATTCTGTAGATTGCCTTGGAATGTATTGGCACACTTTCAACATTAAATCTTCTGAGCCATGATCCTGGAATGTCATTCCATTGATTTAAGTCTTTTTAAATTTTCTCCAGCAGATTAAAAAAAACCTATAGTGTATAAGTGTTGCATCACCTTTGATAAATTCACTCATATATATATTTTCTTATGGATGCTATTATCAGTTGAATTATGTCACCTAAAATGATAGGTTGAAGTCCTCAGTACGAGTACCTGTGAATGTGACTTTTTAGGAAATAGGGTCTTTGCAGATGTAATCAAGTTAAGGTAAAATTGTATCGTATTAGGATGGTCCCTACTCCAACATTTCTGTTGTCCTTCTTGGGAGAAAAGAATAGGCATATAAGGAGAAAGTCATGTGAAGACAGAGATACATGAGGAGATGTCACCCATGTGATGATGGAGGCAGAGATTGGAGTCATGCTTTTACAAGTCTAGAAGTGTCTGGGGCCAACAAGACCTAAAAAGAAACAAAGAAGGCTATTTCCCTAGAGGCTGCATAGTGAGCATGGGCTTACTGACAACTTGATTGAGTTCTAGTTTCTAGAATTGTAAGAGAGTAAATTTCTGTTGTTTTAAAACCACACAGTTTGTGGCAATTTGTTATGACAGTCCTAGGAATCCAATACAAGGTAGAAATATATAGTGTTTGTAAGACTGGGCCCTAGTGTCTGAAAGCCTGGGCTTGTTCTTGGATCTTCCACTCTTCGTCTCTGTCACTCTAAACTGCTGTACATTCTCTGAACTTCAACTTCCTCAATTTGAAAATGTGGATGATATTAGTAACATCCTCCTAAGGTTTATGAAAGCCGAAATTATTTATTCCACTTAAAACTTTACAAAACTACATGTTGCCTGGTTATCTAAAAGATATATAACATTATTTAGAGGTATTTCTATGGGGATACCGTGAGACTCAGCAGCACCATGACCTAGGTCTGGCCCTTATAGTGTTGTGAGGGGGCCGGATATTTATAGGCTCCATGTGGGAACACAGGCCTGTGTCCAGCCTGAGGACAGAAGCAGAGAGAGGGGGAGTGGGTTATGGACCCTGACCTGTCAGCTCCACCTCCAGGGACTCTTTCTATTGAGGGTATTTGCAAAGCCTGCAGTCATTGCGCACATGTACTGATTGTGGACTGCTGCCTTATTCTCGGATCTCAATGTTTCTGGTTATCCTGGAGCTCTGAGCATCCCTCTTCTCTAGGCCTAGATGGTCACATGCTCATTCCTGTGAGAACAAGGCTGGTAAATTTGGGATCTTGGTGCAGGAGAGCACTGGAGGCAATGGGAGCCTTTTTTCAAGGAGCCCCACTCTCTTTTCTTCTCCAGAGGGAAAGTCTAAGGGAACGAACTACTATTTGTGGGGTGTCATTATTTCAGGGGATATTAGGGACACTGTGTCTTTATTCAAGGTCAAATATCCAGTAACTTTCCCTCTGGGAATGGAATCAAGATCTCCCTGGGCCCAGAGCCGGCACCAACTGCACACAGCTGTCTGCCTCTAAATTAAAGAAAAAGAGAGTAAGACTGTCACTAGGAAGGAAGGTGGGAGTGAAGGGTCTTGCCAACTACTCAGGAGAATGCTTGGGTAGGACTGAGTTGGTAGGCTGTGATCTGGAATGGGCAGAAGGTTGGAGTAGGATCTTTCATAAATAAATGGTTGCCATAATCCAGTGTATTTAAGGCAAATTAGATCATCAGCCTGAGTTCATTTTTATGAAGGAGGAGATGACCCCACTTAATAGTGATGTGATGGAGATTCAGAGACGGGGTGTGTGCAGCACCCAGCCCAGGTCCTGGACCCAGGAGGCATTTAGAAAATGCTGGTCAGTACCACAGTGTGCAATAACTGGATTATTGCTTGCTCCATGCAGTGCTGGCTTCATAGGTAGTGAGCTGTGTGGTCAGAGAGGGCTCTAAAGTGAGTTAATGGTCTGCTGTCGCCATTTTGAAATTTTTACAAAGGGACCTGCCTTTTCATTTTGCACTGTGTTCCACAAATTATGTAACGAACTCCATCTCTATAATTTTGTATTTTATTTGATTAGTTCATTTTAGTAGTTAACTTGTTGTTACGTCTCAGCTGAAAGGAGTGGAAAAAGAGGAATCCTTGGATCAGGGAACTGAGACACAGTCCAAATTTACAGAAATGAAATGAGAGCAGGCGTGGACGCTGGTTTGAATTACTGCAGGTGTGTTTGTGTCTGTGTATGTGTGAAATAAATAAAAAAATTTTCCCCTGTATTTCATTTACAATCCATTCATCCATCAATGTATCAATCCATTCTGTCAAAGTATATCTACAAATATCAACTATGCTTCACACAAGGTACCAAGCACGAAAACTAAAGTATGTCCTATTCTCTGATCCCTACTAGTCTTGGGATGTGACAGACATCAAATAATTAATTACAGACTATAAGTTACTATACACCGTGACATGTGATGTGGGGAATAAATCCTTGGAGATTGGAGATTAGATAATAGAGGATCATAAGTAGTCTGAGAATCATGGAATTTCAACCTCAAGGTGGCAAAGAGGGAGTATAGAGCTGAGAGATGTGGAGGAATCTTACCTGAAGTGGATGGGAGTGTTGAGAATTCCATGAGGAAGAAAGTGTGGAGATAAAGTTCCCAATTTGAAAGGTATCATGGCTACTGAGCCATGTAGACCATGTTTTCCTAGAATGATATCTGGGCTGATTTCCCTACTGTCCACACGACTTCCAGTCCAGGAAATATAGGGTGGGAAAGTGAGGACCCAGGCACTGCCCCGGCCCAGCTCGTCTGGTTCAGTGCAGATGAGGGATGCAGACAGAATCAGACAGAACAGACACACAGAACACATCACATGAAAACCTCTGACATGGGTTTTCTGTAGCAAATGGGAAATACTTCCCTCCCATGACTTCTGTGTGATTCCCCCTCAGTGGGGTCCAAGAAAAGACCAGACATCCTCAGTGTAGTTCAGTCTGGAACCGACCCCCGGGATGTGACCCAAACCACCACCTAATGGGCTTAAACCCCATTTCTGAAATAACCCCAGGTACATATTTGTGGGCTTCATCCCAACACAGATTTGTGGGCCATTATGTGTTCATGAACTCACATAAACCTAGTCTAAATTCTAACTTACATATCATCTGCTATTGGCCAAAATATTTGTTCAGAGACTCAGGTTCTCACTTGGAAAGCTGCTCATTGTCTGATTGAACTCAGGTGAGGCTGATCAGGTAGGAGAGATCATGTTTTGAGGAAAACACAATGCCAACATGTGAAGTGTTGGCTATAACAGATCAACACTCACTTCTTTAGGAATTAGTCATTCTTCTAGGATGTGGCTCTCACCACCTACCTGAACTCTACCTCACCAAAGCGTGCAGAAAATACTGATGGTTATAAAGCAGAAATGCACTATCTACCAGTAATGACAAGTAGACTTATGGGCCATCAAATGAAAGTCCAGAAGAACGTTGCCACTATTCCAGAAGATTCTATGGTTTCCATCTTCCACACAACCATCCAGCATCGCCTTATTTGTAACCACCATCGTAGATTTCATGGAATTTTTTTCCTTCCTTTATTCATAGGGTTTATCTTAGATAAACCTATGATAAATACATGATGTCTCATTTTTGAGTTTGAGTAAATGGAATAATCCTAAACACATAGTTTTTATAATCTTCTTACATTTATTCACTATCATGTTTGAAGATGGATACACATGACCATTTGGAATTTTAGTTTGTCTGTTTTCACTGACATAGATTATTTCATTTTCTACAAAGAATGCCAAATTTTCTCTTTTCCTGTTCGGTGCATGTAGTTTAAAATGATTTTGGCTAATGTGGATTACTTCTTGTCAATGTCCACGTGAATGGGCCATAGTGTATTTGTACACATTTTCTCTAGGGTATGTACTTAAAGATCATAGCTGTGTGTCTCTTACTTTAACAAGACAAGTATAATCTACTCTCTAAATTGATGGCTGTACATTGCACTCCTACAAGTAATGAATTAGAATCCTATGTGCTCATTATTATCTCCCACAATTGACATTAACATTTTTCACTTTGCATCTCACCTGAATGCGGATTTTGGTCTCGCAATTTCACTGAAACTGTGCCACAATATTGAAGCGGGAATGATTATTACACATAAAATACAAGGAAACCTAGGAGCACTTTGGGGCTATCAGAGTGGAATTCAAGGTGTTCTACTGGCTTGGCTGTTTTATGAAAGTCAGTTCTGCACATCACTTCCCAACTCTGCACCTGGGACCTCACATTGCCGCCTTGAAGTTGGCCAGGAAGGGAGTATATACACCAGAGAAACTAGAAAATGTCTTGAGTCACTATTTTTAACAATGGGGTTCTAGGGCAGTAAAGAACTAGCTATCATTTCCAAGGGCAATATTTTCAATCCAAGTAATGATATTTCTGAAGAAACTACACAAGTAGCATCTGATGAAAAGTGAAGGGCTTGTGAATAACAGAGAATATTTTAATTCATCATTATATATTTATCACTTTCAAGCCGTATCTTTGTTATGTCAATTTATTGATTTATTAAAACAGATTGCATGCTCTGAATGAAGAGATGGAGATTCCTTAATACACATCAACGTATGTGGTAACTAGAAATAAAGAAAAATATTTTACATGGAAGTGCACCAGAGCATGAAAGTGTGAGGTGGTGTGGACCCAAATCTGCCAAGTGGGATACACGCTGATTTCACAGAAATGGGGAAAGACAGGAGCCAGTCAAGATAACTCAACAGCCGTCATGAGGGAAATTCCCAAGGTTTATTTGGAGAAGAGTCCAGGCATTGTCTCTGCACATGAACAATGATTCCTCCTCCTCCCAATGACCTGCAGGCAGTTCACGAAGCACAGCCCTCAGATGCTCTTCCAGAACCTCCTGGGCGCACAAGGTTTATTGCCAAGGCTCTACCACTCAGAACAGTGCATTGTTCCCTCTTGTGTTTACCTCCTGGCTGCACCTTGGGTCCTTCTCTGGTTGTGCTGAGCCTGAAATAGCAGAACCCCGAGGACAACCAGTATCAAACCAGCCACCGCCATCCAGGTGAGATTCTCCACTGTGTAGTCTTGGGGACGTGAGGCTAGGAATTGTGGACAAGGAGGTCACAGAGGTCAGAGCAGAGGAAAAATCACCCTAAGATCCCTGTATGTCCACCCAGGGCACCTGCCTCCCCTTGACAATTCATGACCATCTGCACCAGCCCCATAAATAAGATTTTCTCCTACTCACTACTCTTGGAGTATGACTTGTTTTGTGAGGGGCTGAAGGTGTCAGCTGCTCTTTTTTAATTAATTAATTAATTAATTAATTTATTTATTTACTTATTGTGAGGAAGATCAGCCCTGAGCTAACATCTGCCAATCCTCCTCTTTTTGCTGAGGAAGATTAGCCCTGGGCTAACATCCGTGCCCATCTTTCTCCACTTTATATGGGACACCTCCACAGCATAGCCTGAGAAGCAGTGCGTCGGTGCGCGCCCAGGATCCGAACTGGTGTACCCTGGACCCCCGCAGCGGAGCACGCACACTTAACCGCTTGTGCCACCAGGCCAGCCCCTCAGCTACTCTTGAGAAACAAACAAAGAAAATTGGAGTTGAATGAAGAGTTGATGCAACTCAAGCCTTTCCCCTGGGCCCTGTGTTCTTATAATTCCCTCTGTTTCTCATGACATCACTGTTATTCAGTCCTTTCATGGATGCTTTCTCTGCTGTAGAAGGATTCCCTCTATTCTCATTGGATTCTTTCAGTTGCCCTTTATGTTTTGAATTTAGACTTTGCTTCTGAGTCACTTTTGAACAGAATTTCGATGTGCCCCAAGAGCTCGGGATTGACGAGAAAAATGGTCTCCTAATACAGAAATAATGGAGTTCTTATATGCTCCCTGTTCATTCTGGGATATGGACCATGTAAGATAACTCTTCTAGATATGAGAGTTTCTATTTATTCAACACCTGAGGACCAAGCATCTATGGATGAGGGGTTGGACATTTGTGTGTGTGTATATATGAAATGTATTAAATATATATATTTATATATATATAAAGAGATATATATATATATATATTTATATATATATAAAGAGAGAAGATTCACACCACACAGTATGGTTGGATTAATTAGATGAAATAAGTTAGGTTAGAAGGAGGCTGGTCTGTTCTGAACAGTGTCACAATGAAGGTCACACTTGGAGATGACATTCAAGCTGACGTCTGAGTAGGAGATGGAGCCTGAGAGGAGTCAGGTGAAGACCCAGACCACGCACATCACAGGTTGCAGGAGGAGCAGGTCCCCAGAAAGATCTCAGACTGTTCCTCAATAAGGAATAAAGTCATGTCTGTGGGAGGTAAGGAGGATCCAGAGGAGAAAGGGGAGGTGAGATTTGGGGGCTTGGTGCACTCGAGACAGGTCAGAAAGGACAGGACAGATGAGGGAGGCTCCATCACCATCATTACCATCATCATCATCATCACCATCATCAGCATCATCAGCATCTCTCTCTTTGGAAGAACTCTGGAAACAGGTATATGATTTCAAGAAGAGAAGACTAGTCATTTAATTTTATATTTGAACTTTTTCATGCTAAAATTCCAGGTAGGAAAGTAGATTGCAAAAATGTGTGAAATTCTCAGCTTCTTTGATATTAAAATCATGTAATGGTTAATGGCATTCAAAAAAAACAATAAATGAAAGAAAAAAATATATAGCCTCGAGGCGGGCCCCATGGCCTAGTGGTTAAGTTTGGCATGCTTCACTTCAGTGGCCCACGTTCAGATCCAGGGTGAGGACCTATATCACTTGTCAGTGGCTATGCTGTGACTGTGACCCACATAAAAAATAGAGGAAGATTGGCATAGACGTTAGCTCAGGGGTGAATCTTCCTCAAGTAAAAAGAGGAAGATTGGCAACAGACGTTAGCTGAAGGTGAATCTCCCTCAGAAAAAAAAAAAAAAAAAGGTAACCTCTACCCTCTCCATATCAAATATCCAAAACCAGGAAACTCCTCAGTTCTGGTCTTTGAAGCTTTAAGGAACAGAGGAAATCAGTGCTGTTATAAAATTGGGTGAGCACAAAAGCATAAGTAACCCTGCAGATCTATTTTAGCCACTTTTAATATAAAAAAGACATAAAAACAAATTGTAGATCAATTCTAATTATACATCTCAATGTAAAAATTCTAAATAAGTTTATACAAGTCAGAAATTATGAATGAATATTAGACGTCATTCAATGGGATTAATATCCAAATGACTGATATTAAGAAGTCTTTTAAATGTATCTCACCATGGTTAAATTAAAGAAAAAAAAAATCAGGAGATACAAAAAAGTCCAGAAAAAAACTTCCTGAATTCTATAAGTAAATAATATTTTATTTTCCTAATAAAACCTGAATGAAAGAGAAATATGGACCAACATGGATAGGTCAATAGTGTTATATATGTATAAAATATAGATTTTTGATGTTTACCCTAAAATAATTTTAAAGTGACACTCAGGTACATCTTAGCCTGTTACTTTGTCATCACTATCATACGGTATGTGATGCAAATAAAATGGGTACACATCTGGAAATAAAGTGAAATTTCAATTTTCTTGAGGTTAATATAATTATTATCCAGAAATCAGAGGAGATCAGTTGAAAAACAATTGAAAGGTGGAGAATGTATAATAAGCTAATTAGAGATGAAATTAATAGAGGCAAACTAGTATCATTATCTATACTTAACAATTATTTAGAAAATATAAAGTAATCAGAGATCTTATGAATTAATAAAGTTGTTGAATAATATTTAAGCTATGAGTTTAGACAATTTTATGAATGCAACTTCAAAATGTATCTGAAGTCATTAATAAAACTCCATTTTAAGCAACTTTTATAAGAAAACTTCACATTACTTAAAAGTTATTCTCCATAATGAATTTATAAATTTAATCTAATCCCAATGAAAACAGCAGTAGAATGACCTATTTTTAAGTCAGAAACATTTATAAAGTAAATTTTTATATTTATATATGCAAGTATTGCTATAAAATTCTCAGAGAAAGAGAGAGAAATAACAAAGAAGTGTGCACAGCAAATGCAGAGTAGACGTGAGCTGCACACAGACGTTCTGTGCAGTGATCACATAAGTGAACACAGGGAGCCGTGCATGGTCCCTCCTTAGTCTCAGGTGTGCACTGAGTGGCTGGAGGCCTCCAGGTGAGCGTAGGAGGGCTGTGCAGAGCAGTACATAGGGGCGATGATGCTCCTTTCTATAGGAATGTGTCTGAGGTGGTCTCCACCTGCACCCACATCAGATCCCACCTTGCCCAAGCAGCCTCCTGTCCTGGTCTGAGAGGGCTCAGGGACCCCCCATATATGTGAGTGAGGGGCTTCATCTAAGGGTCTCTTTCTCATTTTTCTTGGAAATGAGAAACAGGAGCTTCCAGGGGAGTGTCTGTCTGTCCTCTCTCCGTCTCTCCCAGCCTGTCCTCCTCTATCAGCCCAGCATCTTCCCTGGATTCCAAGTCAGGCCTGGACCCCAAATGCTCAAATCCGCCCCTCTCCTTCTTCTCCAGACATCCTCCAAAACTGGTTATGGGCTTGGGAGCCAGGTGATCTGACAAGGGAGAGAAAAATCCCACAGTTTTTGTATGAGAGGAGGAGGGTTGAGATACCAAATCAATGGGGATTCCAAATCTTTGCAGTCTTCACAATCCTGTGGCTTCCTCTTGCTAAGCTGAGACTCCAGGCCTGATGGACAAAAATCACGTGAACTCACCTCCTGTCTCCCTCAGTTTTTTTAATCCTGACAAGGTCAGAATTACTGGGAGCAGCAGGACAGGCCCAGAGAGGGCAGGACCAGGAGCAGGTCTATGATGAGCCACTTCCCAGATGCCCCAGAAGGTCAGAAATGAAAGGGCCTCTGGAGGTCACGGCCAGGCAGCTCCCCCTTATTCAGACAGAGAAAGGCGTTCTCAGAAGTTAAACCACCCAGGAAAGCTGAGCCCACACACTCTCTGCCCCACCTCCTAGGGGTCCCTCCCACCCTGACTCCTAGAGGAACACCTCTGTGGGATCTCCGCCTGCTCCTGGCTCCTGGTGAGTAGTGATGCTGTGGTTCTGAGATGGAGACACCAGGAAGTCATTGGGTCTTGTAATTTGAGTCTAATCTCATTTCCTCTTAGTTCACTGAGACTCATCCCACCCGTCTCCCTGCCTCAGCCCTGTCTAAGCTGCAGGGGTGGGGTGTCCCAGGGGTGGGAGGTTCCAATCTGTTTCCACCCTCTCGTGGGCTGGACCTTTGTCTGTGGAACCTCCCCTATGGTCCCATTATTTCCACCATGTCTCCTACTTTCCAGTGGACAGAGCCCAGAGATGACCTTTTGAGCTCTGAGACCCCAGAAACAGAGTCTCCGCACCTGAGATTAGGAGCCCTGGGACCAGGGACCTGTCCAAACTCACCTTCTCAGGGAGCACTGAGACTCCCCCAGTGGATTCCACCCCGTATATCATAAAACAAGAATGGGGGATGTGAGAGAGGCTGTCATTCTTCTCATGTCAGCACAGCTATTCTTCCCCAAGGCTGGGCCCCAACATCTCCCTGTGTCATGACTGCGCCACCCATCATCCATCCTACCTCAGGGCCTGTGTAGCCCTGTGGTCTCCCTGGCATTTCTGCTTGACTCCCAGCCCTGATGGGACACAAGCCTGTCCTTGAGTATCTGAGGGGCATTAGATCCTCACAGAGACTCTCAGATCTGCCCTGGGTGGTCTGTGCTCCCTCTGAGCAAAGGGGCCTCAGTGACTCACCAGTTGTAGAGATGAGACCTGTCGGTGGGGGCTTGGGGGTCCCCATAGGGTCTTGGAAATGAGGACAGGAAAGGGATGAGGGTCTGGGGCTCACCGTGGAGTCCCTACCTCATTCTAACTCTTTGCCTACATCTCTCATGTGCCTCCCAAGAGCCCCCTTCTGCCCACCTGGCTCCTTCTAGACACTAGATGTGAGGGAGGGGAGTGGGCAGTGGCGGGAGGGCCTCTGAGGGGCAGATTTCCTTCTTGAAGACTGTCTCTCAGAGCCCCCCCTCCCTCCCATTCCAGCCCAGATGTATCTTGAGGACAGGGCACTGAATAGATTGTAGAGGCAGAGGGGAGTGCTGAGGTACCTTATCTGAGACCATGAGCTCCAGGGGGTCACTCAGGTCTGAACACACCTGGGGTTTGATCCTGTAACAGCCACAGCATCTGAACATCCACCTGTGAATGGGGGTCATAAGGCCCACAAGGAACAGAGCATGGGACTGCCCATTAGGGTGGCTCTGTGAGTCCAGGATCAAGGAGGGCTTATGTTATCCTTCCTTAGTCAGAATGAACCTGTCAAATCCCAGCCATGAGCTACACTGGAGGGTCACATTCCTTCCTGAGGTCACCACAGGGCTCGACAGTGCTGAGAGGGTGGATTTGCTACAAATTCCTAGGAGAGGAAGAGGCAGCATGTTAAATGGGGCTCACACCTCCCTCATATCCCCCAGGGCTGGGCTGTGAGAGGGGACACACCCCTGAGAGCAGACCCCCTTCCTGAGGGCAGACCTGAGGCTGGGACCCCTGAGTGTCCTCTCACCTGTCACCACCAGCTCCAGGGTGTCACTGTGCTCTGACCAGCCAGTGGGCCTGAGATAGTAACAGTGACGTCTCCCTGCATATTGCCCTGTCATGTGTGAGATGGATATATTGGCTTTTTCCCTGGGCTCCAGTGGGGACTGTTCATCCCAGGAAAATGGGCTTCCCTCTTTATCCAGTTGGTACTCCAGGGCCTCCAGGGTCCCCTGACACCAGCTGTTCATGGGCTCCCACCAGGGGATCACAGAGCCTGGTTCAGCCCAGATGGCGGGTTTGGGGAGGCTCCCTGGAAGGATATCAAACTCTGGGTCACAATAGATATATGACCTCTGTTCCCCAGCTCTCAGCCCCAGAACCCTCCCAGATGTCTCCCACCCATCAGCCCAGAGCTGCTGTTCTCCATTCCCAGCTGCTCAGGCATGTCCCCTTGTCCTCAATGAGAATGTGGTACCTGGGACGCCTGGGAACAGACTCATCTGCCTGCACTGGGTTCCTTAGGATCACACTCAGCCCTGGAAGAGAGTTCCCTGTGAGATTTGTCCTTGAAGTCTGAGCAGAACCCCACTTCCCTGCGAGCTTCCTGAGTGCTGAGGTCTCCTGAAAGACCAGTGCCTGGCTGTGGGGTGGGGTCCCTCCCAGAGTAGGGCTTTCCCTTCCCTTCCTCAAACCTCACCAAGGTAGAGCAGGGCCATGAGAGTGGGGGTCATGGCATCTCCTCCCTGTGGCTCTGCTGTGAAGATGGAGGAGACTACAGTGTCTGGCAGGACAGAGAGATGCACAAGATGTGTCTGCTCTGAGTCTGGTCCTCCCCACCACGGGGTTGTCATGTCAGCAGCCCCATAGGAAGGGGAAATACCCGTTCCCAAGAGCCTGGTTCTAGTTTCCAGGTCAAAGCAGCAAATAGAGGTGGTGCATTCCTGAGATGCCACTTCTAGTTTAGGGTGACCCAGGGCATGTCCTTCCCTCTCAGAGCCTCCCCCATGGGGTCTCCTTCATCCTCAGCCCATCCATCAGCTCATCCCTGTGGGGTCCTCACCATGGACGGTGGTCACCCAGGCCCTGGAGATGCTTCAGGGAAGATGTAGGTTTCTGCTGCACTGCAGAGCTCAGATCAGCAGAGGAACACACTCAACATCTCACTGCACAGTTCTGGTCGAGGTCATTGTGACAATGAGCAAAAAGGAGAAATACAGTGAAATCAGGGAAGGAAACACCACTCCTCTCCTGGCCCCAGAGTGTCAGCTTTTTTTTCTCACAGCCGCTTTCATGGATCTCTCTTTTTTCTTGCAACAACATCCATTTCCATCTCTCTGGGAACAAACCTCTGAGTCATTTCTGCTTCCTCAGAGCCCCTTGTTCCCTCAGGCAGAGCTCTCTTCCTCTTCCTGGGGCTCTGTCTTCAGCTTTAGGGGTCAATGACTGGGTTAGTTCTCTGAATTGCGGGATAAAGCTGATTTTTATTTAAATAGTACTCCATCATACACTGACCGTGTAACCCTGAGCATTAACATACAATCTCTGAGCCTGTTTCCTCATCTGCAGCATGTTCTCATGAACCCCACTCCTCAGAGTGGCTGTGGGTCAGTGGTGCTGGGTCCATGGGAGGGATCAATCAATTTCCAGGCCAGGTTAACACAGGAGTGGTTTGGGACATGAAAGGATCATGGGGTCTGACTCCAGAGTCAAGCGGATAGTTGATGTGCCCACCCAAGAGCTCTCATCTGCCCTTAACACAGGGAAATGCTACTTGCAACATTTAATTTCATTTCTCTTTGAGAAATGAAAGTTCCCATAGAAAAAAAGACATGGAAGTTCCCATAGTGGAGAGGAAACCACAGCAAAAGCTAGAGATAAAGCTGAGTGGCCTCTAGTGCCCAGGACTATCAAGGGGTCCTAAGGAGGAGGTCACCTGTGTGGAAACAGAGAGGACCCCCAGGTCTTCACAAGAAGGGAGGGCTTGGGGCTCCAGGCGAAGTTGGGAAACTATGGTTTCCCCTCCCCCTTGTTTCTGGGTGGGCAGTGGAATATCTGCCTGCTGCCCTGAGCCCACGGTCAGCACTGAGCAACCTCCCCTGTGTGGCCTGAAACAGATTGAATCCATTATTGTCAGCCATGGGTGTCTGCCCCACCTGAGAATGTGAGGCACTCGTTGGATCATCCCTGCAGGACACAACCCAGGCAGATGCTGCGTTTGAGAGAGTGGATGCCATGGGGCAGGAACAGCTGCAACAGTCCCTCCTTGTCAGCTTGACTCCCAGGTCAGCCCTGGGAAACTCTCTCTGGGAGATCAAGTGTGTGGCATCAGAGTCTTCCAACAGGAATGGACAGTCAAGAGTTGTCTTAATCGTGATGAACATGCTATGGACAACAAGCTACTGATGAATGGGGTTATCATATGCAAGGAATAGAGTCATCAGGAAAATAAGAGTGTAATTTTAAATTAAGGGTGTTTAAATATCTGAAACTTAAAGGAAGAAATGGAATTCTTAATGCAAAAATATGGATTGTTTTTATTGAATAGGCAAGTATTGAAATGAGTTAGAAATTTTAGATATGAAAACTCCAGTAGAATTAAGACATTAAAAAAATTCATCCCCTCAACGACAAGAGAGCTGAATTATGAAAGCAGAACACAGTAATGATGGAATTTTCCAGAATGCAGCATAGGGAGACCAGAAATGGAAATTTAAAATACTTGGGTAATAGAATGAGGAGGACCAACGTCACATCCATTGTAAGTGTCAGAGGAAAGAAAGAGAATGACGTCCAGCAACAGATCAAGAGACAAAGAATTAACTTTTACAGAGATGAGGAAAGACTAAGTGCTGGGAGACATATAATTAAAACAACATCTGGGGGTCAGCCCCGTGGTGTAGTGGTTACATTCACGTGCTCCGCTTCAGTGGCCCAGGGTTCGCCAGTTAGGATTCCGGGTGCGGACATACACACGGCTCCTCAAGTCATGCTGAGGCGGCGTTCCACATACAAAAAAATAGAGGAAGATTGGCATGTTTATTAGCTCAGGACTAAACTTCTTCACCAAAAAAAAAAAAAAAATGACCTTTGTTTCTTGACCCTTCATGATAAATGAGGAAAATGAAGGATAAGTGAAAAATATGTATCTTACACTGAATTGTACACTTTAAAAAGGTCAATTTTATTTCATGTGAATTTCAACTAAAAAAAATCTAGGAGAACTGGCCTGGGGCCCTATAAAAGCCCTAAAATTATTTCCTAGAGAAAATGCAAAGCACCATCAATAGAATGACAGGCTCTGGGACCAGACTGCCCCACAGCAAAAAGAGATGCCAGAAGAGATTGGAGAAATGCTTTCCAGGAATTAACTGTTTGTGAAGAATTTTATTCTGAGCCAAATGATTTTTAAGGGACAAAAGAGAAAGGGTCAGCAGGGGCAAACCCCTAATCAGGAGGAGACTCTGACCTGAATCTCACACATTAAACCCAGTACATTGGGCTGCATCTTCACGAGAGATAAGAGCTTCAGGGGGTGGATCCTTAACCGCCATATGGATTTTCCTCTCCTAGTAGTTGAATCCTACTCTTTATTTGAAATGAGAAAATGTTTCCTAGTAACTTGATAAAGAGAATGAGGGTGAAAGAAAACATTTCCAGAGTTGCAAGTTCTTAAATATTTTACTGTTTTCAGATCCAGTGAAAGGAATATTAAGTGATGTAATTCAGTTAGGAGAACAATGAACTCAAAATGGAGACAGTGAGATGGAACAGTGAGGGAAAAAAATGGCCAAAAAAATACCCATCGGAAAATTATACAAACATACACACTTGCACACAACATGCACACATTCGTGCTCATTGACACAGAGATGCACACACACACACACATATTTATACATATGAGTACTCAGAATTCAGGTATAGTGTAGCTAGAACCCTGTCTTCTCTAAAGGAAAAGGATAACGAATACTTGCATAGAAATAAAAATGTAAATACATACATTAAAAATGAGATTAACTTCTTAAAATTAGAAACGGAAAAACTTCCAAAGATCTTCGTGTAATTAGCTGAAACAAACTTTTTCAGCTTTGTTTAGGTATAAATGACAAACAAAAATTGTATATATTTTAAAAAATTGTATATATTTAAGGTGTGTAACTTGATGTTTTTATATATGTATACATTGTGAAATAATCAGTATAATCGAGGTAATTACCACACCCATCATTGGCGTAGTTAACATTTTGTGTGTGTGGTGAGAACACTTGAGATCTACCCACTAAGCAAATTTCAAGCACTCGGCACAGTCTTGTTAACTGTAGTCACATGACTGTACCTTAGATCTCCAGAACTCCTTCATCTGTATAACTCTAACTTTGCACCCTTGACCAACATCTCCCCATCTCCCCATTTCCCCAGCCCTTGGCAACCACCTTTCTGCTCTGTGTCTATGATTTTGACTATTTTGGACTCCACATGCAAGTGAAATTATTTTGCATTTGTCTTCGTCTTTCTTATTTCACTTAGCATGATGTCCTCCAAGTTCATCCATGTTGTCACAAATGGCAGGATTTCCTTCTTTTTAAAAGATGAATGATATTCCATTTGATGAAAATAATAAGAATGATAAGAGGTTTTCACATATTAAAGTGTATGGAGAAGCCATTGTGGTTTAACCTGGATTCAGCCTAAAACTTGTTTTTCCCAGATCAGTCTCACTTATTGCCCATCAAACATGCATTGAAAATCTGCCTCAAACATTTTCCAAAAGCAAGGAAAGCAGTCTTTAAAGATAGGGATGAATGTCTCCCTTTCTCTGATACCAATACCAATACTTCTTTGATCATAAGCTTTTCTTCCCAGAGAACCAAGGTCAAGTTGACCTGCTATGTATGTGCTAAACTTCAGCAAAACATATCCTTGTGTCTTTGAGAAAAAAATTGTATTCCTGTCATCCTTGGTGTATGTTCTTTGTCCTGAAACAGTATATAAATATGCTATAAACCACATTTCTATAAAGCGCTTTTTTCCCTGGTGGAGATACACTTCTAGGCTAATGCTCAGTATTTGCTCAATAAATATCACTCTATCTTTCTTACCTATAGATTGGTTATTGATTTTTAGTATATATATATGTATATATACATCTTCTTTATCCATACTTTTGTTGATGTACATTTAGTTTGTTTCCATATTTTGGCTATGTTGAATAATGCTGTAATGAACATAGGAGTGCAGATATCTCTCTGATAACCTAATTTTATTTACTTTGGAAATATACCCAGAGGTAGGGTTGCTTGATCATATGGTAGTTCTATTTTTAATTTTTTAAGAACCTCCATACTGTTTTCCATATTGGCTATTCCAATTTACACCACCAACAGTGCACAATGATTTCCTTTTCTCCACATTTTTGCCAACACTAGTTATCTCTTGTCTTCTTGATGATAGCCTTTCTAACAGCCATGGGATAATATCTCATTGTGGTTTTGCTTTGCATTTCCCCGATGATTAGTGAGGTTGAGCACATTTTCATATACTGATTGGCCATTTTGGATGTCTTCTTTTGAGAAATGCCCATTCAGGTCGTTTGCCCATTTTTTAATTGGGTTATTGTTATTATTTTTGAATTCAGTTGTACAAGTTCCTTATGCCAACTTAAAAAGCAAATTTGCCTGTTGTTTTATCTCCAAATGAGTTTATTCAAGAATATCCAAAGATGTACAATTCATGCTATGGCAAACCATAGGCA